TTAAAGGACTAAACTGCCAAAAATAACATCAAAACGCAACTAATCATTTAACTTGGCACAACCTTCTTCAACCTTTGGGAACTGGGTCGTATCTGGTTTGCAGGTCAGATTCAGGCCAGCGGCGCGTGAGGGTGCGTTCTGCCACCTTTCGGACTATAAGTCCGGCAGAGTAGATCAGCGGGGCCCTCTGAGAAAGTTTTCGATGTTGTGTCTTGTATTATGGCACAATTTTGTTGCAGACCACTGTTCGTCTGGGCAGTCCAAGGGGTAAGGTGGTGCGGTGACCAGTGCCTCCTGATCAACTAATCCCTACTTTTGCAACACTGCCTGCAAGCCATCGTCACTGCATTTGATTAGAATTTTTGAGATGTGACAGCTTAGCTACTTATGATTCTAAATACTTATCAAGTTTGTGTGTGCGAACAAGTTTGTAATTTAAATGGTGGAGTTATGTACAGTACTGATGTAGGGAAGTTGTGAATTTGTTTACAGAATAAGATTCTCAGCTCTTGTATTCTTTGGCCATAATTTGTTGTGTTTTGCACGTATATTTCCCATCAATTTTGCTTCAGTATATGATTAAACTTTGAGTGTTGGGTTGTTCAGGGTCACAAAGTTATGTCCCAAATATGATCAGTGGAGCAGCTCAAGCAGATATTGGTGTTCTGGTGAGTTAGACACCACTTCACTGCATTTGTTTTGCACAAGTCCCATTTTTTGAATTTTTAATTCTCTCTCTCTGTCTTGTTCTCTATCCGACTGTCATAATTAGGTATTTCTGCCCGTAAAGGGGAATTCGAGACTGGATATGAGAGGGGTGGGCGAACCCGTGAACATGTTCAGCTTGCAAAACTTTGGGCGTATCTAAGCTGTTTGTGGTTGTGAACAAAATGGACGATCCCACCGTTAACTGGTCAAAAGAAAGGTGTTGTTCCTGAATTTAGTTAAGTTTATGCTTATATATGCTGTTTTATTTGCGTTCCTGTTCTGGTGGTTCATTCTTCATGGCACTTCCTCAGATATGATGAAATTGAATCTAAGAAGGTATCATTTCTGAGGTCTTCAGGCTACAATGTGAAAAAGGGTAATTTATATATTGCTTCTCGAATCTTTATATATATATAGGAAAATGGTGATTGATTGAATTAAAATTATGAGTTATTTGTATATTTTCAGTAAGAGCAAAGCAATTTGTTCTGTATATTGACTGTGTTTTTGATCTTATTCTGAACCTGTAGATGTCCAGTTTCTACCAATATCTGGTCTTCTTGGTTCCAACATGAAAACGAGACCGGACAAGAGCATATGCCCCTGGTGGAATGGCCCCTGCCTCTTTGAAGTTCTTGACGCAGTTGAAATTCCTTCTAGAGATCCAAAAGGTCCTTTTAGTTATGATTTATTACTGTAGGAATTCATACAACTCTAGGAAGAAAGTATAATTGTTTAACTATACCCTTTCTCCCTTTGTTATAGAAAAGGCTACATAGTTACTTATAAGGACTCTGACTATTTCTTGAGTCCCTATGACTTTGATTCGGAACATAAGATAAGTAAATAACTGGCTAGGATTCTTAGAAAATAAGACCTAAAAAATCTAATTCCTAAAGATCCTAGAATGAGCAAAATGTACCCAAATTATATTTTAAAAAGAAAACCTAAATCATGGAACTGAAATTATGTTAAGTCTGCCCCTGAACATAGAAAAACTTAAGTATAATAAAATAGAACCCTAAATTGCTAAAATTATATTAAGTCTGCTCCTGGCTAGAACCCCTGAACTATTAAGGCTGTATCAATCTTTCATTTCACATCTATTAACTATATGTTTTCTAAATATGTAGGATGCCTATAATTGACAAATTTAAAGTCTTGGAAACTGTTGTGATTGGAAAGGTTGAATCTGGTACTGTGCATGAGGGTGATTCCTTATTGGTCATGCCAAACAAGGTGCTTAGTCTTTCCCCTAATTTCTTTGTTTATTTATTGTTAAACTTCGATTTTGAAGTCCAAGATGCATGGATGGCAGGCTCAAGTGAAAGTTCTTGCCATTTACTGTGATGAAGATAAGGCTATACGTGCTGGACCTGGTGAAATTCTGCGGGTTAAGTTATCTGGAATTGAAGAGGAGGACATATTATTTGGTTTTGTCTTGTGTAGTGTTGGTAAGTGCTCTTAAAGATTGTAAAAACTGAAGGCTCTCATGTTTTATCCCCTAAAGAAGAGTTAGATAATAGAAAGTGGAGTTAAAAGGTAAATGGTAGGATAACTGACAAATTTGTTTTCAGAAATATTTCTGTTCTTTTGTAGTTTTTGATAGCAATGCTGGGACGTCTTGGCCTCACCATCCCCATCCCTTTCTATACTTATTTTCTATTTTTGATTCTAAAGTGTTATTTGTGATTTTGTTTAAGTTTTGCTGAATTATATCCTTTTTTTTTTTTTTTCTCTTTTTTACCCGGCAAAACCAATACCAACAGTCACTGAATTTACGGCCCAGCTGCAGATCCTTGAGTTGCTTGACAATGTATGAATGAATCCACTTTATAAGGCCCTCTCTCATCTTTAATCTTTTAGTTCATTTGATTAACTTTGCATCTAATGGTATTGGACTGTCTCTGCTATTTTAGGCAATATTTACAGCTGGGTATAAAGCTGTCTTGGACATTCATTCTGTTGTTGAGGAATGTGAGATTGTTGAGCTGCTACAACAAGTTGATCCCAAGACAAAGAAACCCATGAAAAAGAAAGTTCTATTTGTTAAGAATGGTGCTGTCGTTGTTTGCCGCATTCAGGTTTACTTCTTGCCTTTTCACTCTTTTTGAAATTCCAAAGTGTCTATTCTCTGACGTTTGGAATTATCTAGAATTGTGAATGTTTTTTAATTCAACACGGTATCATACTATCATCCTCCTGCTTGATCATTGTGGGACTGCTAGAATTTCTATGTATATGGAAGCTGTAGCATTGCTCTGTTATTTATTCTCCTTCCAAGCTTTCCAAGGTCTGAAGTGGTTGGAATCTCCAACCAATATTACATTTTGTCAAATGGTTTTCACTGGCGGTTTATTTTTAACAGGGGAAGAAGTTTTGCTTTGAAGTAGAGACCAGCCCAATTATACTTGAAACATTTTTGTGTTTGAAATTTGGTTCATGAATTATATCTTTGTGGCAATATTGTCTCAGGTGAACAACTTGATTTGTGTTGAGAGATTCTCAGATTTTGCACAACTTGGAAGGTTTACTCTTCGAACTGAAGGTAAGTGACTGCATTTTCATTATTCATGAATTACCCTGGGCATGCAGTGTGTAATTTGGATTACTGTGTCTACAGAAAAAACAGTTGCAGTGGTAAAAGTCGTGGACATTCCTTCAAGTGCCAGTGCATAAAATGGTTTTGTTGTTAGAGTTGAGAAATTAAATTTATAGTTTTTTTTTTTAAAAAAAAAAAAATACAATCTCTAATGGGATGTTTAATGAATGGCTAATTCACTCTGACAGTTATGTCCACCGGACTCTCCATATGAACCGGTGTTAAAGTTGCAACACGGAATCATCTTAAATGAAGTTGCCGCGTTAACAATATATTGATGTCTTGAGGAGAGGTGGGGTGCCGATGCCACAGGTGCTTGGCATTGGTACTTTTGATATACTTATGGGTATGTAATGTTTAACTTATACACCCATTGGCATTTTTGGAACACATGATTGTAATACATGGTTTTCACATCAGTTTGTTGGAAAATATTTAGTTTTGGTTTGGGCATTGTTTGCCATGAAAGCATTTAGTTTGTCATTTGGGTTTTGGTACAATATTTATGTGTAAAAACTTATTTACTGCTCTTTTATCGTCTGTGGCATCCTGGTAATAAATTGAACTGGCAGATAGAATACAAAGTGATAGCCTTGCTACTATTTTGCATTATTCGGTAAGAGACTAAGAGTACATTTAGCCGTGGAATCTCAACCTGATAACTAGAAGTAACAAAATTGCACCCGGCACAATAATTTGGCACTAACTCAATTTGTAGAATATGAGAATTGAGATAGGGTCAAGTAGTATTGAACTCGTGATCTGTTCACGTGTCACATGTGTCATGGGTCAACGTGTGCGTTCACATGTTATCTATTTAATATGATGGTGGTTAATATAGTTTACAAAACTTTTCAAAGACAGTCGATTATATTTATTTAAAATTTATAAATCAAATATTTTATATTATATATGATTGTTTATAAAGAAAACAAAAAAAATTAAATAAATGATTTAAAATATATTCTAAAAAAAATTATTTTGCTTAAACTAATGAAATAAAAAGAAATAAAATTATTAAAAAATAATTATGTTAAAGTTATTATAATTTAATTTTAATAAATTAATATTAAAAATGTGATTAATTATATAGAAAAATAAAAAAAATTAACTCATGAATCAACTCTTAATCTGTTAGAATCGATTTAGAATTAACAATGGTTGACTCACAACTTATGTATAACCAAACTCATAAAACACATAATTAGAGTAAATCCAACTTGAACTCGGTTCAATCTACCCGTTTACTACCTCTAGCTCTACCTATGGAGAACACACTCTCTTTCTCCTCTCCTAATCGAAGCACAGGCATGCCAAAATCCTTGTCCTCCTCTCTCAGTGGATGAGCAAGGGCTGTTTCTAATTCTTCCTCTATATCAATTCCATCATGTTTGGTACGAACATAAAAAATGCATGGAAACAAAATTATACTAATGTAAAAAAGACACAAAATTAGTTATGAACTTGAATCACCATTCACCCATCTTTGAGAAAGGCAAAGAAAGGAAAGAAAAGAAAAGAAATTAGAATCATTCTTAGACAACCACAGAGGGGACTCCAACAAACACAGAGGAGAGAAAAACATAATGGAACCATACCCATTCGGAAAAGCATTTAAATTCAACAACAGCCAAGTATGGAATGGAAAATTATGTATTTGCTCGAGCTTAACAAAAGATTTAAAACAATTGTGGAGAAATTACAGAAGAACTCATTTTATTTTTGAAAATAGGGGGCAAATTCGGGGAGACAAATTGAGAAAAGTTGGGTTACTGTGGAAGGAATAGGGCAAATTATGGGAGACAAATGAGGCAGGACGTCTTCACAATTTTTTTTGCCAGAGAGCGTCCTATTTTCTGTCTACCTTTTTCTTTGTCGTTGGTGAAAATGTAAAATCTTTTATTTTTGAAAATAGGGGGCAAATTCGGGGAGACAAATTGAGAAAAGTGGGTTTACTGTGGAAGGAATAGGGCAAATTATGGGAGACAAATG